ACCCCGCCCCCCCCCCCGCCCCCCGGCCGCCCCACCCCGGCGGCGGGGGGCCCCGCCTGCCTCCCCCCCCCCCCCCCCCCCCCCCCCTCTGGTCCGCCGACGGGATAGAGGAATTGTATTGTATTGTATTTAGCTTTATTATTCTGTTAGTATGTGTAACATTGATATGCGCATTGTAGTCATTCAACTATATTTGACTAACAGCAATATAATTGCCATTATACTGCATTTGCATACTCTCACATGTGATATCGTGTAGCTAGAGAGCGCATATCTGTGTGTTCTTTTCGATTGGGAATGATGTCTGACGAAGTTTCATTGAAAGTATTTATACGCTCTTCGAAATGTGAAAAGATCAGCGAGTAGGAGAAACAAGCGAATTAGTCGGCGCAGCTTCTGTTCTTGGATTTGCTTTAGCGCCATTAACAGGTGGAATTCCACTAGTCACTATTGGTGTTGCCATTGGCGGTTCAAATGGAAGTGTTCATATAACTAAGATACTCAAGTGCTTTTGGATAAGACTTTACCAATTGCTGGGAAAAGTGATGCACATTGCTCAAGTCACTTTTACGATAGTCGATGTTGCTTTGCTATTTAATTCGAAGCAAAAAAATGTCAAAATCAGTGCATTAGGAGTGACAAAATCTTTATATAATTTTGTCTTGAGTCATCGTACTGTTTTCACTTTGTTTTAGAATATCATACGCAGATTTACTTTCATAAATTTGTCCAGTAGTTCTGTATAGTTTCGTTCTATATATACGAGTGTAAAGATTTTAATGCACTGTAATGTTGTTACGTTAGATACTAATGCCATCTGTATTACGTTCTCTTTTTTTTGACGTAAAGAATGAATAATCAATATGTAACCAATCGATGTCGAGAGAAAGAAATGGCCAGTGAATGAATGATACTTCAGTGACCTTGTTTGTAAAAGTCAAAACTTTTTTCTACAACATGTTTTAGTGTATAATCGTTTAAAATGTCTTTTTTACCGTCCATTCAAGTATTTTCCATTCTTCTACTTCTTCTACATTCTATCTCTAGTAAGATTCAATTCGACAGTCACTTGATCTCGCTTTTCATTCACACTTTTTCTCTTTTCAACAGTTACTCATTGCATAACCACAGCTGATCTTTATAATCCATGTAAGAAACAACCGGCATTAGGTATTGAGCTTGGTACTATTCCAAACACGGCCTTTTTTGCTTCATCGTTTGTACAAGGCCGTGAGCCGTATACCGCACGACTCAATGCTCGTTATGGTTTGTTTTTTTCCTTTTTTTTCATGAGATTTCATCTCATTTTCGAATTGTAGCTTGGAGACCTGCTTATATGGATGCTGATCAGTATCTTTTCGTTGATCTTGGTGCTCGATATTACGTCACAGCTATTGCCACTCAGGGACGTCGTGCGGCGAAGGAATATGTCACAATATATAATATAATGTATTCTGATAATGGTCATAATTGGTTTTATTACACAAATGAAGATAAAATAATAGTGGTTAGTAAATGAAAGAGAAAATATCGATTGTGATATGACCTTTGTCCGTAGAATTTCGTCGGAAACAAAAATGATAACGGAATTGTTCGAAATAATCTGTCGGATCCGATTATCACACGTTATGTACGATTTAATCCAAGACAATGGAATAATTTTATTTCGATGCGTGTCGAAGTGTACGGCTGTCCATTCAGTAAGAATTAATTTTAAATCTTTACGATTTTCTTCATTGTCTTTTCTTTCTCAGCTTCATCATCGTTTAATTTCGATGGACAAACAATTTCATATTTTGATGCTACACCTGCTCCATTGCATAATACTCAGGATGAATTTCGTTTGCGTTTCAAAACAAACTACCCTACTGGAGTTTTGTTCTATGCAAAAGGAACACAAAATAATGATTATTTGGCGATTGAGCTACGAAATGGAAGTATTTTTGTTAATATTGATCTAGGTAAATATAGATCAAAGTTAGGTTCGAGAAGTAAACAATAGCTGAACTTCTCTTTATGTAGGCTCGACGCCGGAGCGTCCAGGTGCAACAGTGATTCAAGCCGGAAGTGTCCTAGACGACTATCAATGGCATGATTTAGCGATTACTCGTTATTTGAAAAATATTTCTGTCAAAATCGATCAAGCAGTTGTCCAAGAAGAGTCGCAAAGTGCTTTCAACGGTTTAGATTTCGATGGAAAAGTAAGTAAAGAAACAATTCGAAACGTTTTCGTTGAAACACTTGACTTTTCTCTTCAAGCTTTATGTTGGCGGTGCGCCGAATCACATGGAACGCGGAATTACTGTTCGTCCCAACTTTCAGGGTTGTTTAGAAAATGTTCTGTACATTAGTCCATCCACACAAAGTATTTTTGATATGTTACAAAACTTGCAAAAGCAATTGCCATTCTACGGTCTTGAACAAGGCATGGTTGGTTCTGGTGCTTTGTGTGAGGTAAGTCACCGATTCAATCATCTTTCTCATCATATTTATTCGTTATATACAAATAGAACGACAGATAAAAGTGAGGAGAACATAAGTTTTGTAAATAATGCTGTGCTATGTGATATATATTTTTACTTTTATGCATGATAAAGTGTATGTCGTTGCATGATGATGATGATGATGCATGGGGGAAAATCATGTTGATTTGATTGAGCTTACATAAAAAAACCTGGAAAGCGTGCTGTATTTTAGGATGATTCGATGAATATGCATTCGTATACGTTTAAGCGATTTGATTCTTATTTGGAAATCTTTCGCAAGCCGGGTGCATCCATGATTGATATCAGTTTTCAAATGCGTACATTCGAACCGAATGGTGTTTTGTTTTACACAAATCTATCGGAGCCAAAACAGCTCATGATTGGAATCAATGATGTTCCTGACCAAGATTTTCTTCGGGTAAGATGAGCTCAGCGAAGTTGATAAACGATTTTCTCTTCTCTCGTAGCTTTTCCTGGACGAAGGTCAACTAAGTTGTACAGTGCAATTAGAAGGAAACAAACGAACAGTTCGCCATCATCGACGTAAGCAGATCTTTTGGTAATTTGTTCTCAACGCAACCTTTTTTGTAGGTAATTTAAATGATGGCCAATGGCATGAAATAAGTCTTTTATTAACACAGTATCGATTTAATATAACAGTGGATTTTGAACCGGAGTTTTCTTTTACACGAAACAATTTATCGACAACTGATCGCTTTACCTTCAGTACTAACGGCGATCAGGTCAATCGCGAAACAGCAATGAACGGTTTTGTTGGTTGCGTAAGACAACTAGTCATGAGTGGAATACAGATTCTACCACGAGATCTAACCAGTAATTTAACTTATATAAGAGCAAATGATAATCGACCAAGAACGGGAACAGTAATTAATCATGGTGTTTTGGTTGATGCTTGCGAGATGTTTGATCGCTGTACGCCAAATCCATGCAGACATGGTGGAATATGTCATCAGGTAAGATTACGCAAGAGACATAGAACGTCTACCTACCCCCTCCTTTTGTGACGTAAGGAATGATTGCATAGAACTTCTATCTAATCAATTGTATGTATGTTTGAGCAAAAAATATGTTAATAAATGTCAAGTGTCTGACGAGGCTTTGCTTTTTTCCTTTCTAGACTTGGACGAGATTTTATTGTGATTGTTCGAATACAGGTTATAGCGGTGCGGTGTGTCACATCAGTGATTTACCATTATCGTGTCTTGATTATAAACTGAATCGCATGAAGATTGATGAAGTCATACCTGAACGTTTAACATTAATTGATATTGATGGTAGTGGTCCTTTAGCTCCGTTTTGGATTGTTTGTCGTTATGGTTCGAAATCGGAAATTCTCAATATAAGCGAAATCGGTCATTATAATGAATTAGAAAGTTATGTTTCAAGCGGTTACGAATTACCTAATTCGATCTATTCGCAAACGATTAATTATCGTGTACCATTAATTCCTCTGTTTGCTCTTATTGATCGTTCAGATGTATGTAAACAGTATATCGAATATACGTGTTTCAATTCACGTTTGTTGAATTATCCTAATGCACCGTATGGCTGGTGGGTTGGGCGTACAAACCAATCAATGGATTACTGGGGTGGAAGTGAGATTGGTACGGGCAAATGTTCATGCGGATTAGATATGACATGTGCAAATCCGAATCTTTTCTGTAATTGTGATTCACAATTTCCAACGGAATTGAAAGACGCGGGATTTTTAACACGAAAAGAATTTCTGCCTGTTCTTCGCGTAGAATTTGGTGACACAGGTATAGATATCGAAATTTTCTTATGTGACACAGCGAAGAAATTCGATTTTTGAAGGACCAGTGGGATCTCAACAGTACGGTCGATTTCAAGTGGGTCGTCTCTATTGCGAAGGCGATCTACTTTACGAAAATACAGTGACATTTCGAAAAGCAGATGCTATTATAACAGTCCCTCCGTTTGAAGCGAAAATTGCTGGTGATATACGTTTTCAGTTCAAAACTGGCTTTGATTCAGCAACATTCGGTTCAGCAATTATTATGCAAAATGTCGGATACGATGATGGAGATTTAATTGAAGTAAGATTTATTACTCAATTTGAATGTAGTAAAAACGAACAAACTTTCATCTCGTCTTAAGATTCGTCTTCAATCACCGCGTGAGATAGCCTTTCGCTATAGCGTTGGTCGTGGAACGAATATCGTTACTATTCGTGCTCCATATGATTTCAATGATAATGATTGGCATACAGTTCAAATCGAAATCAACCGTCAAGAAGCTCGATTAACAGTCGATGGACTTTCGGCTGCTAATCCGGAAGATCAAACCACTTTCCGACACATTCGTCTAACATCGAATCTAACGATTGGAGCATCGGTGACCAACCGAAATGGCTTCGTCGGATGTATTCGAGCGTTTCAAGTCAATGGAGAACTAGTCGATTTGAAAGCACAAGCCTTACGTGGTTTATATGGTGTCTCTCCTGATTGTATTGGTAAATGTCAAAGTAATCCATGTTTGAATGGTGGACGATGCAATGAACGTTGGTCAACGTATGATTGTGATTGCACGTTTACACCATTTCGTGGGCCGATCTGTTCAACAGAAATCGGCACACGACTCGAAGCAAATACAATGATTAAATATGTATTTCCAACGGAAGGTAAAGATTTGTTCGGAATCTGAGAAGTACATTGTGCTCAAATCGATGATTTCAGGTGTAACTGCAACTGAAGAAGAAACTATTCGTGTTCTGTTTACCACATATACGAAACAAGGTATTCTAATGCAGTTAAAATCCGATCGAGTCGATGAAAAAGGTATGGTGGATTATTTTACTCTCGAGATGAACAACAACGGTGGCGTACGAGTGAAATTTAACTACGGTTTTGATACATTTGAATACAATGTACCATATGATTTAACCAATGGACAAGACCACGAAGTGATTGTTACACGTCGTGAGTACGGCAAACGTATTATCATCACTGTGGATAATTATGAACCATACGTCGATGTTTTTCCACAAACGCAACAAATCGATATGCAATTCGATAGTCCACGTATTATGTACATCGGAAGAAATGAAACAACGCCACCTGAACAAGGTTTTAGCGGTTGTATTGCTCGCTTACAATTCAATCGTATCTTTCCATTAAAATACGCCTTTTTGGAAGAACGAGATCCTAATATTACTTGGTCAGGTACCGGTATTCGGTGAGTAGACGAATACGAAAGAAATCGTTAGATACATCATTCTGTATATTGTCTTCAGAGAATGGCCGTGTGGTACAGAACCTGTCAAATATCTACCCGAACCAGTTGAAATTCCACCTGATCGTGGATTTACTATTCTTGGTTTGTTTCATTATGTTTCTTCGATTGATTACATCGAAAGTTTTTCTTTTTCGTTTAGCTCTACCACGACCGATTTATAAACAAAATATCTACGGAAGAAATGTCGGTCTGATCGTTGGTAGTTTCAGTCTTCTATTCTTAATTCTCGTTGCCACTGCTGCTATATGTTACAATAAATCACGTAAAAGTGGACACTATCGAACCAAAGAAGATAAAGGTGCTGATCAGGCTATTGACGCTGATACAGCTATAATCCGTGGTGATCCTCGCCATCCAGATGTAACTGAAGCACGGGAATGGTTCTTTTGAACCCGTTCATCTTACTTTTGCGCAATTGCTCATCAACAAGATTTGATTATGTTCACATTTTGATTCAATTTGTGTGCAGTTATTTTTGTATAGAATTTCATTTACTTAGTATTTCATTTTATTGATTATATCATTTCGTGTGTTTTGTTCTTTTTTTACTGTCATTTTTAGCTAAAATTTATGTACTCAAAGCAAATCAATCTAACCTTTTTTGCTTCTTTTTCTCCATGTGAATAAGAATAAAAAATAATAAATGAATCTCGAAAAACGATTGTACATGTTGTTCCTTCGTTTTAGATGAAGTTTATTTTTCTTGAATATTAATGACAGGGTTTTGTCTGGATATTCTACTGCACGGGATCATTCCCGCAGTAACTGGTGGCTTTTATTACGATCGATATACAACACAATTGGCGAATACTGTACATATTTATTTATGGATATGTTTTATGACATTCCCTTTGCTTTTATATCTCGTACGTGTGAATTTTCATGAAATCAATCCAATTACTTGCTTCTTTCTTTCTTTCTTTTAGTTTATGCCAGTTAATCTGCTTTCCTACTATGTCTATCCATTGTTCGTAGCAATCTTATTCGCCACAGTGAAGTTTGTCAATTATCGTCTTCATAAATTTTTCGACTTGGCTGTTCGATGTGAAGATACGAATGAGGACAGCAAGAGTCTATCGACAACCAATAATAATAATAACAATATCGATATCGAAGAAGAGCCGAAATTGAACGATCACTGTATCACAACGGATGTTCCACCAAGTGAAACACAGTAAAAAGATAACAGCGGTTTGCGAATGTCTTTGATGAGTGGTTTCTTTTTCTCTAGACCGCTGTGGATCGATTCGTTGTATGGAAGTAATAATTCAAATTTACCATCGATTTATGATGAGTCATATGCTCGCATACGTCGATCAAATGCTACAACAACGAACGATTGTCATCATTCATCAATTTTAGCAACGACAAAGCAAAAGTCGAATGAACAAATCGATGAAATAACGAAGTATTCGCTGACAGATGTGATTTTACAAAGTTCGAATATTCAAGATACATGTGTATCAGATTCGAGATTATGCGAAAAACATGAGCAAAAGCAAACGAAACGAACTCATCCGAATCAAAAGTCCATGCGTCGCGTTCAGTCAGAACTAAATGTATCAGCAAATCAAAAGGATATGGAACAATCGGCGCACACTCTTCAATCATCTTCAATGACTGACCAGCGTTTGAACAAAAAATCAAAATCATTAGCAGAAAATTTACATCGAAATCATTCAGCGAATCAAGAGGAGAATATCTCCGGTGAACCAAAAATGGAAGAAGAAGTTGTCGAACACAAATCAGTCAGTTGTCTGGTCATTTTGAATCTGGCTGTATTTTCATATTTAGGAGATTACACCATGTTCAACTGATGATCTACCAATTGATGATTGGCGACCAATTTTACAAATCCTTGAGAATGTTTTTGCGGACGAAGATGAACCGTCTGAGTTACCTGCCGGTCAACCTGATTCACTTGAACCTTTGTTACCAAACAAGCGAACTCGTTCACATGAACAACGACAGTCGTCCAAATCCAATGAACAATCGAGTGAAAATCAAGATGATGGAACTATTCCCAGTCGTTTTCGTCGAACGCATTCGAATCAAGGCGGGCGAAGGCGACGAACATCTCGCCGTACAACTTGTAAGTCGATTGTGCTCTTCGAAAAAAAACGTTTCTCTTTTCTTTCGTTCCGTATAGCTGTTGAGCAACGTCCATCACAGTACAATGCTGAATGTAATTCGAATCATCATCATCTTTCGCCATCATGTCGACGGAAATATATCTGTTTGCTGAGAGGTTTATTCTCTAAAGTCTTAAATGAAGAAAATGCATCCAAGTTTTCCTTTAGATCCGTCATTCGATGAACAAGTATCGAATTATGATTGTAAGTTTCGGTAAATCGCCAACGAAAATTTCACCTTTCGTCTGTTCTTCCTAGCATTACGTGATGAAACAAGTTTACGCGATGATTCATTAACAACGACACCCTCGGAAGAGTCCTCTCAATTACTAGCTCGTACTACAGATCGACCACGTTGGATACCGATCTATCGACAAAGGTAATTCAGATCGTTTTTTGTTTTGTTTTTCTACTAATAAGTGTGGTGCTTGTAGCCAGTATGATCAAGATTCCTTGTCACAAATCATCGACGAAGTTGAATGGCATAATGAAACAAGTCCAGGAACTGTCCATTATTTCCGCGATGAAACCGGTATCGTCATTTTGATTTCTATTCTTCGAGCTTCAATGTTCTCTTCGAGTCTTTTAGGCAAACTGTTCTCCTATGTTTTCGGTGACGCATCTTGTCAAGCACGTATGGAATCATCTGATCCTAAACCACTAAGGTAAAGACTGGTTTATGGTTGAAACAGAGCTATTCAACTTGCCTAATTTAGTGATAATATTGCACGAAGTATCAGCGATGAAACAGAAGCAACAGGCGAACAGATGCCAAGAGAACAACAAATCACGCCACCGCAAACTCCAATCACAACTGTTGAACAGAACCATGAAGCTTGTTCATTTTTTGGTCGACGCCGCCGTCATCGCCATCGTCATCACCATCAATCACACCGATCACGACGCTACGAGGTAATTTCCATTATTCAACACTCGGTAGATTTCAAGAATACATACACTGTAGATTGCTTCGACATCTGGTCGACCTGTGATTATAAATGATGAAACTCGTCGACAAATCTCCAGTAGTGTTGAGACAACACCACATGATCAACAGTTGCAACAGCGTGAGCATCAAACACGAATCAAACATCGATCGATCAAAGGCCAAACTTATCGATTGAAACTTTTCCGAAAAAGTTTCATCGTTCCATTCGATCGTCTTTGGCTATTAACCGTTTTCGATCGAGATCGATCAATAACCGAATGTATCTTATGCATTTTCTTGGCTATCATCGTTTCCATTGTTGGCATTCACGTTCTACACAACGATGTTTATTATGATTTGGAAATCCTTCTCTATTGCTGTGTTATCGCCGCTTCACAATACTCTTTGTTAAAAAGTTGTCAACCCGATGTAAATACACCAGTTCATGTATGGCACACTTCTTGAATTTTGACGAAGAAAATCGTCTTTTCGTGTTTATTTAGGGTTTTAATCGGCATACAGCAATAAGTCGTGCAATATATTTTTGTTTATTTTCCAGTTGTTTACTTGTGATATCGAAATTGAAAATCTACCCATGGCATTTAAAATTATTTGGTATAACATTTTCCAATCTACTTGTATGTAATACAATTTACAATTTTCTCTCGATTATCCTATTATGTTTGCCGTTACTCTTCTTATTCGGCTTATTACCACAATGTTCGACATTTCTTCTGTGTATTTTGGAAAATTTTGATATGCATTTATTCGGCGGAACAGCGATGATTAATATTCCGGGGGCATTGTATAGTTTTCTCTTGTCGATTATAACATGGATTTGTCTTTCTATTATCGGCTATTACGGTCTGATGATCGAAACATCGAAAGTAAGTCATTCGTTCTTTGCAATCGTTTTTATGCCGAATGTTTGTTCGAGTAGGAGAGTATGCAGAGCATCGTATTTTCGATTTATTGTGGTTTAACAGTTAGCATTTGTTATAAGTTAAGTCGTGGATCGAGTAATCCCACAATGCTTTGGAATGTCATTAAACATGATCTGTTCAAAATGAAAAGAACGGAAACGACTCATGATGAAATACAAGATCCGCTACCTGAACAATTAAAAACTACTGTTAAACAACGTTTACAGTCAGATATTCTTCTTTGTTTTCTGATATTCATTCTTGTTTTTGCTGCTCATGCTTCAACAACATTTACTAGTCTTCAAGTAAAATCTTCTTTCGAATTTTCTTATGAAAAATATTCTTTGGACTCCGTTTAGCCAATTCTTAATTATATCATCTGTTCACTTGTTGTTCTTCTCGGAGTATTCTTTCATTATATCTTACCTCAATTACGTAAACAATCACCTTGGCTATTATTTAGTGAACCATTGATTAAACAAGCTGATTATTCATTATTTGAACCCACAGGTAATGCTGTTGAAATGATCGTCTTTAAAAGAGAAACTTTGGCGTTTTGCATTTTAGAAGCAACAAAAGTCCTGTTCATAGAGAAGTTCTTCGTCTGGATTGTTTTTCTCGAGAAAAATATCCTTCTCCCATGTACATTTCTTGGTGCACTTTCGCATTCAGCACCCACTGTGATAAAAAACTTCGGCTTATTGTAAGTCGTAACTGGAAATTGTCTTCTGAAAGACGATCGAATGTTGAATTTAGACCATCGATTCTCATCTTAACATCATGCTCAATGAAAATGCTTCGAATTGGTTACTGTAATTCTGCTAGACATTTTCTCTATGTGCTCTTGACGAGTATGATGACCTATATCATGACATCGAATCGCTCGGAAACATTCCTCTTAAATTATTTTATTTTATCGATCTTAACCGAAAAAGTAATGTAGTGTTGTTATCTATTGAATTCATCTCATTCTTCGTTATTTAGTTGATTGATTTTAAAGAAAAACTCAATTTCATCTTCATCTATTGTGCACCATGGCAAATTTCATGGGGTTCAGCATTTCACGCCATCGCTCAACCGTTTTGTATTCCACGTAAGACTTCAACACATATCTCAGCACATCCATTGACGAATCTCTCCGAAATACTTCTAGATTCAGCCGTCCTGATTGTTCAATGTTTGGCTTCATCACTTTTCAATTCTCCTCTAATGCCATTGTTAGGCAGTGCGGCGTTTATTTCGTCCTATCCACGTCCGATAAAGTTTTGGGAAAAGAATTATAACACAAAACGTATCGATAACACCAATGTTCAATTACAAGCACAAATTAATGAATTTCATTGTGGACTTGATGATAATAATCTAAATGCGATCTTTTACGAACATTTAACGCGAGTTTTACAAACTTCACTCTGCGGAGAGATTCAACTTGGACGTAAGTTTGATCAACAAACCGAGCCGACATGGATGACTCATGAGAATGTGTTCTAGGTCTTGGAAAAGTGAATACAGGAGACTTTTTTATCCTAACGAGTGATAGTTTGAACTGTATGATTCATTTGATTGAAATTGGAAATGGTTTTGTCACATTTCAACTTCGTGGTCTAGAATTCAAAGGTAATCAGAATAGATTTCAATAGTCTACAATGAGTCTTATTTATTGTATCAGGTACATATTGTCAACAACGTGAAGTCGAAGCAATTACGGAAGATATTGATAAAAACCGAGGTTTATGCTGTTGTGAAGCTGGTCGTTTTCCACACATGCTTTCACTGAATGCTGCGTTTACACAACGATGGCTAGCATGGGAAGTTATTTGTTTGAAATTTGTAGTTGATGGTTATAGTATTAAAGAAAATAAGTTCAATGAAACAGTTGTGGGCTATGATCTACGTAAAAGACTCATTTCATTAATGATTAAAGTACGGATAATCTTTCCGAAAGCAGAAGTTTAATGTTGTTTCATCTCTAGGCAGTCATTTTCTATGCTGTACGGTCAGATCAATTGACTCAATGGCTTGAAAATGAACAAATTCGTCAGGCCATGAGTGCATTCACAGATTCGGACCAAGTTGACGTTGATCCTTCGTTTACCACACTGTTTGATGATGATTTCAAAGCTGGCGCGGGCGGTGTGACAAAGAAAACATTCTCTTTTGTCTATGGAACATGGATTCACTTATGTAACAACAAACGTTCGACAGTAAGATGAAGAAAAAAACTCACAGATTATCCTCGAATTATTCATTTCGTTTCATCATAGCCTTTGCCGTCAACGCAAGAAGATGATCTAATTACATTTTGTTTCATACTCTCGTTGTTAGCGCGTCGAACTCTGTTTAGTTCGTTACCTTCGAAGTAAGAAAGTTTTGGTTTGGAAGAAAAAGAAACGCTTAGGATCAATGTTTAGTCATACGGTCCTATTGGAAATTTATCATGAAAATTTCGTACATGGATTTTATTCCTTGTTCAAGGGCGATTTCCGTCTAGCGCCGAAAGATGAATGGGCATTTGCGGACATGTCTCTATTGAAGAATGTTGTCGCTCAAGGTGTTCGAATGTCTCTGAAACTCAATCAAGTAATACCATACATCGTAATTTGAATAATTTTGTAAAACTCTATTGATTGTAGGACTCCTTCTTGGAAATGTCTGAATATCTTGATAATGAAAAACTCTATGATGATATTGGTATGTTTACAAATGTTCGGAAGTCGTTGGTTTTTAAATGATTCTATTTAGCGCAAAATGATGTGAATCTTGTCATCACTCATGAGGCGTCACCTGAGTGGCGAAATGCCATTTTGTCCAACAAATCATCTTTATTAGCTCTAAGGTATGTGACATGAACTGCGCATATCGATCTATCATGATACTAACGATTTTTTTAATACTTGATCGATTATTTTAGACGCGCATTAGTAGAAAGCATGGATGAATATCGAATCGTTATGTTAGACCGTCGTCATTTATCTTTTCGAATAGTCAAAGTGTCCAAAGAATGTGTTCGAGGGTTTTGGGCATCACAACAACATGAATTGATCTTTTTACGCAATCGAAATCCGGAACGTGGATCCATTCAAAATGCTAAACAAGTACTTCGTAATATGATTAACTCATCATCAGATCAACCTATCGGTAATCAAAGTTTAGCTTTGAAATCTGAACCTCTATGACCCATTTTAGGTTATCCGATTTTTGTTTCGCCTTTAATCACATCCTATTCATCTACCAGTCAACCCTTAAAAGATATCCTCGGTGGTGAACTTGCATGGGATCTAATTCGAAAAAAATTATCAGTATTCTTCCAACGGTAATTATCTTTTTTTCAAATCACATCGAATCAAAAGCTTTCTATTGCATTTTTTATGTGTACAGTGCACATACATTTTTTCTTTCGCATTGCGTTGGAAATGCATCTGGCACAAGTGAAGTTATTCAACTTGCTGAACGACGAACAGTACCGTCCCAAGGGTCACATATTCGTCAATCATCACTCAGTACTCCGGTGACTTCTACTCTTCCCGATCAAGGTCATTTGTCATCGGCTCAAACGCATCTTAGCACAAATCTGAATCTTGATAATAATAAAAAATCTCTTCAAACAACTGAACAACAAACATCGATGCTTATCAAACGTACATCAGATACTTTAATGCCAACGACAATGAACAATGACGAACAACTCCCTCGACGTTCGTCATTATCATCGGAATTGAATACAAACGATCGAAGTAGTCGAAAAGCGTTGAATACAATGACAACCAGCGTGTCAACAACAAATAGTTCAAATAAGGACGTTTCAACAAGTAGTAACACACAGATTAACAAAGCCGTAGTAACATATTCAACGAACGGAAACTCCAGTGAAAAAGTTGTTATCATCGATACAACAGCTGTAAGTTTTCTCGTATTACAGTTCATTTTTTTCTTCTTCTAAGTATAGAAGTATTATGTTCGAAGAACAAAACATGATTTTCAATCGATTGTTTACACGAAATTAATCTTTCACAAAAGTTGCTTAAGTTTAATTTTTCCCCGGTATGAAATGGGGCTCGTCTCGAGAAATAAAGCTTTTTAAGAAGGATAACGTCTTTCATCAGTGCAACACATATCCCGCCTACTAAGGTCGTCGGGTGGATAATTTCCTTATCTTCTCAGATCTACGATTCGATCAATTTGGGTCGCCGAATCGATGTCATATGGCCTAATGAACAAATGCGGTTGAATGGCGGTCGAAACGTTTGGTCGGGTTGGACACCAACTGTTGGCATGACCGGCTTAGTTGTTCATCGTTGGGTACCAAGACATCGAGATGCTCGACAACGATCTCATATTGATAAATGTATCCTACTTGTTCATATCGATAAATACGATAAATTCGTTCCAATCGCTGAGCATGGTGTACGATTTATCGGTGAATCGACTTATCTCTAATAGAAAACAACGATGTGTTGTGTTTCTTCTTGTTGTTGTTACTCTTCTTTTTCTAGTCTAATTGTTCAAACAACGAAATAAATAAATACAGTAATATGGGCATGCTCATCAATCTTAATAAAGAAGATATTACACAGACATGTCGCAATCGGACGCTTATCTAAGCAATGATAACAGTGTGTGTATATCGATTAAAAAACAAGATATGTTTGATCTTTCACTAATGTTATTAATCTATTCCTGGAACTAGTATAGTATGTGTATGGAATACTTTACTCTCTTATTAGTCGATGTTTCCTTCCCTCTTCGTATTTCTATTCAAATATAACACGGTAAATTTATTTCTTTGACAATGAACGCTTACAAGGAAGTTTTCTCGTTTGAGCCAAAGAAGAAAGAACATGTAGTGTTCGGCTAAATAGGCATGTTTTCAAGTGACTTGTTGAAATCTGAAACGACAACGATCATTGAAGGAAGAGGAAGGAGGATGTTAGATATCTCCCCAGACAAATTCTCCTCGAACTTGTTGATATTCTTTCAACCTATCATCACTTTGTCGAGAAGAATTCTATTTTGGTATTCAAATTCGTTCTTTAGAAAGATTCTTTTCGTACATGAAAGAAGAGAATCGCGATGAAACGACTGACGACAGAAGAGCAGATGTTCCCTACTGTATTACTGATAAAAAGAAATGAGAAAAGAAAACAGCAAACGGTACTGTCATGTCAAATATACAATTAGTTCGAACGCAGACTCGATATTAGAGAGTATTTTCTTCTAGCTAATGTGTAGGAAGTTGTTTCATTGCTTGATGTTGAAAGGCACTGTCTGTCGATTTTCGAAGAATGATATTGTCAGATCTCGATTCATCCAATCAAATAGGCGGAGCATGATTATGACCATCTGCAAAACAGAGAACTATTAACTTATTCAGCGCACGTTTGACTTTAAAAATAAATGCGAAGTTTTTCGTCTCAGTGCATATTGAGATTAGAGTGTGATAGTATTTTCTAAGTATAAATAGAAATACGCATATGTACTTGATTTTTATATCTGCCACATGTCACTGTGTTATTCATCTAAGCGGAAGTCTGGCATGAAGTAAGAATTGTGATGAACGTCGAAATGTTCCGTCACGTATATCACTATAAAAATTATCAAGTATGACGAGTGACTGTTAAAATCGTGATGATTGCATATCGTTTTCTCTTCTTCACATTTTCTGCTCGAAAACGGATTGAATAACAATGGAGAGTTCCTTCCATTGTCGATCGCGCACCATTCTAATATCTAATAGATTTAAAGAGAACTGTGACGTTCGACTAATTTTCTCGATCTGATCCAATTACTGAGTCTACGTATGACGATGATAACCTGACATTTTCTTTCGCGTGCCAATTCACCCAGTACATTTGAATTAAATTGATTTTAATGAGCGGATAAAATATATCCGATTCTTTCGCCGAGATCGAGTATAGTCTGTCAAATTAATAATAAGTGGGTGGATATGCACACACAAATAATATGAGAGCAAATGTTGTTCAAAATTTCTCTTACGTCAAACAATTTACGACAAGGAAAAATTGCAATCCTACTCAAAAAACGAGCATTTTGACCGAGTTCTTTTTTCAAGTTCACTAATTTTGTGTGAAATTACTATACATGAAAGTACGATTTTCTCTCATACCGTTTTTACACTGAAAGTTTCGGTTCGTCTCATGACTTAACCATCATAAACATTTCTTCAGATAAGTCTGACTATAAAAATAGATTATCCATTTCAACAATACAGACAATATTAGATTGACAGTTAGACATTATCACTAGGGATATTTATCTCGCTGCAAAACAAACTAGTCCAATGCCTGTTTAATCTTCACGAGATACACCATATTTACTTATAATCTCTCCTCTCTCTCCTCTCTCTCTCTCTCGTGCGCGCTTTTCTTCTTTCTTTAGGCGGTCTAACACTTTACCACTTGTGTGTTATCGACAACTGCTGATTCTTTTTCTCACAGTACTTTTTTCTTTTTCTGTATATGCCTTCATTAGCTTTTTTTCCTCTTTACATTTCATCAACTAGTTATAACAGGTACTAGGAATTCTACGGCGATTAATTATTTTTGATTGATAGTGTTCATACGCGACTTACTTGTCCGTTTCTGTTTTCTTTTTCTAGAGAGAAAAGATTAGTTTGGTGATGAATGATCTCTTTACTTCACAGATGAAGGTAAGAAGCTTGGCTTACATAGCTGGAATTGAAATATAAATTAAACCAGTTGTAATGTGATAAATAGAAGGGTAGTTGCGATTTATTCTTCAATTCCCTTATCTAATCAGTAATCTGTGTTTTTTTGGGAATATCAGAAGTTCTCTTATTTCTTCGTCATCCGAATAATAAAAACAACGCATCGTAGCGCTTCCTCAACAATCACCAGAGACATTTTGTTTGATGAAAGAAACAATATAAACGTGATGCATTTTGTCATCACGAAGAGTGTTTCATAAATAAATTCAAGGTAGGTTCATCCCTCACCATCTCACTTCTCCTTATAGGTCTAAATTACATGTTTTCTCATTTAGTCGGCGTGTATGATCATCGATAGGAATAGCAGAGTCAATTTGTTCTATGTTGACGTAATCTACACAAATATATATGCACTATTTCGACAGGTCCCATGTGTTGGAGATGTGTTCATTAGATGCTCGTGAGATGACGTAGCATGGCGAGTGAATGAGAGATTAAAAGCACGAGTTTACTTATATATTTTACTGTCAATCATTCGTTTTTTCAAGAATCATTGATTAGATGACAATTCGAGATATCTTGGCATCGACAAGGCGAAAAGAAAGAAGAAAAAAGAGCGTTACTTTTTAATAATGATTTGCCTTTTCTTTAGCATTTTGTTTCATCTCGCCGATAAAATGATTAGTTGTTGTCTTGTCAATACTCTACAGAAGGACTAGAGAAGAAAACAGGATGCCGAAGTTCAAATAGGAAAATGTTTGGTTTTACCTTCGTTTTAGATGTTTTGTTGAAAGTCAAGCAGTTTGGATGATGTCGGCATTGACGAATATTGGTTTAATGATTTATTTTGCTCTTGTAGCCCTTATTGGCACACTAGGCAATGGGATTATTCTATTAGCTTATGGAAATCGTTGGAATTCATCAAAATCAACATCAGTAATCTTCATTCTTGTCCTTGCTTGTGTTGATCTTTGGACTTGTCTGGTTGTTGTGCCAAGTATTGCGATCATGGAGTATCGCGAGTTCGAAGTTCCGACACCGCTCTGCCGATTTTACTCCTTTTCAAAGATCCTCATTATCATCTCATCATTGATCATGTCATTTATAGCCTTAGATCGGTTTTTAAATATTGCCGTGCCACATTATCGACTGTTAAATCCTCGTCGTGTTAAAGTAAGCAATTCGTCTGTCTCCCTCTCTCTCTCGCTTTTGGATGATCTCTCAGCTTAGTTGCTCTTAATGAATAGATGCTATGGCGAGGAAACAATTTAAGATTGATATATTTAGATTCATGGAAATAGTCATGATCTTGTGAAGATAAATCTGAATAAAGAGTGCTTGTCTTCCTTCTTCAATTGTCATGCATCTCATTAAAATACTCAGATGAAATTCCAAACGAGAATCGACCATTGTCAAGCTTGGCGTTCGATTAACTAACTGATCGAATAGCAACAGTTCAAGCGTCGTATTCCGATTTTAATCAAACGTGGAAATTTCCTTAGATATTTGAGGACATTTTTCCAGTCAGCGAATTAGAAAAGAAAAACATTTGAATGGAAAAGTTGAGATCGTTTGACGAGAAACATTCTGAGTACTTCGTAATCTTTCAAATTAATCTACAATCATTTACACACGAGTGTAGCTGAGATATCTACGTCGTTTGCCGGGAACTTTTCTACTTGATTCAGAATGACAACTAATCTCGAGAGAATTGTGTTTTGCTGTATGAAGCTTTTGTCCCTCTATTCAAACGAGGTTTTTATCCAATTAATAATGTTTTTTAATCAGAGATATTATTCCCACATGATGACTTGTTTGACATTTGAAGAGACGCCGAAAAAAGATCAATATCTGTCTATCACTGGCTAATCGATATTGACACAGAAGCTTGGCTGACATTTCTAATATGACAAGCGATTCTCGAATTTCCAATGTTTGAGAAAAAACTCACGAGACTTTGACATTCCAACCGCTTCATATGTCGTTGTTTTCTATTCAACTGAATGCCAGGTAGCTTCCTATGAATGGGAGATTAAGGATAATGTACCTGTCAGATGGTAAGTGTTTAGCCATTAACAGAATATTATTAACAAAGAAATAGTAAATTACTAGAAGACAACAGAACGTTCGAACAACTGAAAGTTAAATCGAATTTTATTTTTTAGCTTCTATTGACATTATTTATACTCATTGGTATTGCAATGGGCCTCTTAACTGCCTTAGCCTTTTCTTCGTCTCCACAAGGTGAAATTTATCTTGCGAATTACACGGAATTTTTTATCGATCAATCCTATTATCTTAAAAACGAATCTCGGGAGATCACCATCACTTACGAACAAAGAAACTCGTCAGCTTTTAACTTAACAAGTCTACTCTACGAACAATTAGGAATTCCGACCAATATGACGATCGCGAATTTGAATCTAACGTATCTATCCACACATGAATCATGCTTTGCCGATACAACCATCATTTCCGAGCCCATTCGAGAGATTCTTCGGCATATATCGAACAAATTCTTCTTCATTTCTATCGGCATCGTCACTATCTTGTACACGATCACACTTCTGTTAGCTTTACATCGACAGAATCCTCGTATACGTGCGTTGAAAAAGAGTTTATATGTTCTGAACAAATTCGATGCATGTCCAAATAGTCCACAACAAGTAGCAATGAATTCTCATTCGCAGAAGCCACGTGCTGATTCGATTCTTTCGACTTATTCGCAATTGAATGCTTCGATAAAAAAGAAATGTCTCTCCACCAATGAAACCCAACAGTTCGAAATGGCTAGTTTCATTAGCAACGATGATTTCGACGAACAAAATCTATCGAATAAACCGAAAGCAGACCATCAAATCAGCGTTCCCGACGATCTCGAAAGTTCTATCGAGAAATTTCCGAATATGAAACAAGTTTCATTCCAAGTTGCACACAGTGACGAAGTCTTAACTAACAATGACAATCAACCTCTCTCCTCCCTCTCAAACTCTTTCGATATTGATTTAGATAAAAAAACCGATACCTATTATAAATTTCCATGTCCATGTTCAACAACTCGGCAATTGTTAATCAAGTTTCACTTTGCTCAACCCACATTGGATATCAACCAATGGTTTTGTTGTGTGAAAAAATCGTCGGCATCATCAGTTTCGTCAAATGACCAACAATCATCGATAATCAGTCCAACGGAAGATGAAACATCGAATATTTTATCTCCAACATCACCCAGTCATCATCAACCATCGGTCTCGAACAGTGAAATACTCAAACGGCAACTCCATCGCCATCGAATCAAACAAGTCCGCATGGCAGTGACGTTCCTCTTGATCACCGTGTCCTTCGTTCTCTTTTATTTACCATCGATACTAAACGCTGAGCGATATATCAAAAGCCCAATCTGGATCTACTATTTGTACTTATGTACACATGCATTAAATCCCATAATTTATTGTTTTATGAATGTAAATTTACGTGTGTATATCATCTCAATGTTGAAATGTCAAACTAAACGAAGAAAACGGAAAATGGCCGGTATAGGAACATCCTTTTTCGAACGTTAATACCTTTTGATAATCTAAGTTATCTTCGAATCATGATTTTTCTTGTTGTATATGTGATATTGTGCAAAATGTATAGTTTCACAAATGAAAATAAACTTCTCATCAATGACAAATAGTCGTTTTCCTTTAGCCTGACGAGTATTCGTGCACTTGCATAGATCAATTTTTGTCGTTCGCTCGCTTGTCATTGATTGAAACAAAATCTATAGGTGCATACATACGCACGTTTTTCTCTCATCATTTAACCCTGATTTCTGTCGACACGATCATCGCGAATAATGAGATCCGCCCAATCTTCACTGCCTCATGATTCCAGTAAGCGTTTGAGGCATTTTCGCTTAGATTTGCGCTGGAATCAATGTTTGTTTAGCCATATCGCAAAATCTCCAAGCATTTCTACGAATTTATATACTGAACTTTCAAGTTCACAATAAACAACCGGCGAATTTAAGTGAAATTAAAACGCAAGTCGAACTGAAAGAGAAACATCGAGCAATTGAAGATCACGCCGAAAGTAAGATTAGTCAAATTATCGAATAGGTTTTGATCGAAAAAGTTTCAGAACCAGCGCGAATCAAATTTCCCATGTATAGTGAAAAAGAACAATGCGTTCAATTCGATGCCGGATTAATGCATAAAATTAAACGGCAAATTATCATTCGCATCCATTTGAACGGTGTTATCTACACCTACGAATCCGATTTGGATGTTCTAAGAAAGTTAGCGGATGGTCACCGACATCGGGTATTTGTACTTTAATCATTTTCTTCTCTTCACAATTATTTTCTTTAGTTCTTTTTTACACAAAAAGCTCACGCTGAGATGATTATCAAATATAAAGGTAAATGCTTGGCATACAAATCGGAATGAAATCGAAGATAATTGTAGATCCATCCGGACGAACAATTACGGATGTAGATATTGATCGACTGTCAAATCGATATGCAGAACGACGACAGCGCGTTTATAAGCACTTTGGTCATGAATTTGTTCCGAAGATTTTCAAATTACCCACATTTTGTGCTGTTTGCAATGATTTTCTTTGGTAAGCTCAACGAGATCAAGGAAGAGATGGATAAAAATTGATTTTACTTCGAAGGGGATTTGCGTATCAAGGTTATAAATGCCAACGATGTGATTGTGTTGTACATAAACAATGCTACAACCGATTTGCATGTCCCTGCAAAGGGAAGAAATATGCTGAAGTAAGCTTTTGCTTCCTCATTTCTCCCTCTGAATACGATTTGGTGTTGCAGTTGAATATTAATGCCGAACATCATTTCGAACAGCAACCATTCTCTATAAAACCATCATTTTGTGATCATTGTGGAAGTTTTGTTCGCCCAGGTCATGGTCAAAAATGTTCATGTAGAAATTTCTCTCGGAAATTGACTTTGTTTTCAATTACGAACTGTTTCGTTCAGATTGTACAATGAATGTTCACCGACGATGTATACCAAAAGTGGGAAACTATTGTGGATGTGAACAAAACGTGCTAGCCTTGTATGATAAATGGAAAGAAACGGTATGCAACTGAGAAACACAATGTCTTTGCGAATGATAACCCGTTTTAGCATGAATATGATCCCGATAAATATCAATACAATGATTTATATACGATTTATTCCAATTTTGACCAGGACGGTCAAGAGGACAATGTTGAAAATGCCATTGAACGTCTGTCTAAAGCTTATCAACCGAATATAACTTCTGGATTTGATATAAAACACTTTCGATTAGTACGTTCATTAGGCCAAGGAATGAACGGATCGGTAAGTTTTTGTATGAACGATTTGGGATGCAGCGTATGCGAGATTTCTAGGTCTATCTTGTTCAATACGGTCGAAATTATTATGCGATGAAAGTTCTTCGGAAAAACGCTGTTTTGGAAGGACAAGATTTAGCTTATGTCATGCTGGAGCGAGATATTCTAATTCAAAGTCAATCGAATCCGTTTATTATACAACTTATCTATGCATTTCAAAACGCCGAGAGGCTGTTTTTCGTCATGGAAGTTGCCAAAGCCGGCAATTTCTATCGCCTTTTACTAAAGCAGTCACCGCGACCATTTCGATACGAACGTATTATGTTTCACTCAGGCGAAGTCGCTTGCGCACTTCAATTTCTTCATTCGAAACGCATTGTATCTTCAACGAATGCCATCTTTCGTTATTCTTCTACTCTTTATTCTAGGCCTATCGTGACCTTAAGCCAGAAAATGTTCTGGTCATGGAAGATGGTCATATCAAACTAGGCGACTTCGGTCTATGTCGCAGAGATATCGATCAGTATCCAAAAGCAACAACATTTTGTGGTACACAAGAGTATATCGCCTACGAAATCTATAAACATTGTGAATATGATGAGAACGTCGATTGGTGGTCGTTGGGCATATTTATCTACGAATTGTTCACGTTCGTCACACCATTCTATGATGAAGATGATTCTCAAATCGAAGAAAATGTTCTTCACAAGGAAATATTCTATCCTGAAACAATGCCACGCGACGCCAAACGACTCATATCTGGTCTATTAGAACGAGATCCAAGAATTCGGTTAGGAAATCGACGTTCACCACATGGGCTACTCAATCAACATCCATTCTTTCGGTTAGTCATTTTCATTCTCTCTAAATTATGCTCAGTTTCGTCTCCTAGTGCTCCGTACACATTGGAAAATATCGAAAAACAATGCGTCCGACCGCCTTGGGTTCCGAGTGTATGTATTTAACTGAATAAATATCGCAAATTTAAAGCAGACATTTCATAAAGCAATTCTTGTCGTCAGATAAAAACTTATTTTCTAGATAAGAGATAACATAATTCTGTTGTTTTTTCTTATGTTTTAGTCCTTGACCTCGTTTGATCCCAACGGCGAAGAGCCACGTCTATCGGAAATTGAACAAAAAGATAAACTTTTACTCTTATCAACCCCAAACGATACATTTCGCGGCTTTTCTTATATAAGTGCAAGCAATTAGTCTAACCACTTTTGAAAAACCGAATAAATGTAGATTTGATCGAGGTCTTGTCTTGTATACGATTACCAATGAATAATGAGTCGCTGGTTATTTTTTAAAATTAATCAGTGAACTTTGCAGCGAAGAGTACGTTTATTTTTCACATTTGAAACAAAAGAGATCGAGCAAATATTTAGAAGAAATGAATCGAAAAAATTCTTTGTATTTGCTCCTGAATAAATTCACTTTTGTTTTTTTGTTTATGTAAGATTTACTTAGCTAAAGTTTCGAAATTGTCGTTCTTCGAGGCCTTCTATTGATTCAATTAGAGCTAGAGAAGAAAAACCGAAGAATTTATCTCGTAATTTAATAATCATAATTTGCAATTGATTAACATTAATTCTCTAACACGAATGGAGATTGTTTTGCGTCGAGTTGTCAAATACATCGATGGATTGTTTCTTACATTAACAACTGATCTATTCTCTGTCAGATAAAAAAGGTCGAATACGAACAACTAATCTCATCTGGTATCGATAATTTCATCATTTTCGCCTCCATTCATCGCACGTCTTTTGTGCTACTTCTAATCTCTCTCGAACAAGAAGAATATTTCCAGTCGAGATGAATATGGCAGACTTCCTAAGCATATATATGTATACACAGATATGTATATACATGCTTCTACTCTCATGCCGTTTCCGATTCTTCGATTAGCAAATGTCATACTGATCGCGAGAAAGTAAGACGCTTCGATTAACAATCAGTCGCCACCGTCGATAATCAGAGCGAAGAGAAGAATAGAATTATATGTACATGTATATAGATCTTGTCACAAGGTCTAATGAGAGCGAGGAAATGAATTAGTCTACTGGCACACGGTCATCCACTAAAGAAACATGTGCATTTCCAATGAATTATTGTTTGAGTCTGCTGACCGGCGGTTCTTTTTTCTTCTGTTGACCGATGCAATGACTCGTCGTAATATTGAGAACGTTGTAAGTTTGTTCACCCATCACTCAACGATGGATTTAACAATTCTGCTTCATCGTTTGTTCTTTCTCTCTCTTGCTTTTCTTTTCTTTTCTTTTTCTTTTGAGATAGAGTGATATTTTTGTTAAAAAAACATAGACACCATCATAGAAAGAAAAAGAAGCCACACTGCGTTCTGACATATGCACACCCGTTCGCTCGCTTCTGTTTTTTTACATATATGTTGCTCGACTCGACTATTTTTTTTATTTATTGTTTCTCTTTCTCTTTTTTTTCTCTTATTCTAGAAAGTACAGACCAAACCAACCTTGTTAGTAGCGTTGGCATGTAAAAAAAGCTCTTTCTCTTGTTCTTCGTTACTCTCTCTCTCATCGACTGTTCGTTTACTGCTGAAGTCGACAACAACACACACACGCACACACATATATATAGAAGAAAAGCGCGGCGCACAGAGCAAAGAACATAATGGAACAACAACATCCATAACCAGACAAAGTCAACAGTAGACTTGTTGAGTTTTCATTTTTGAAAAAAAGTGTTCTTCTAACGCATCTTTGTCTAAACAAATATTATGATTCCATCTACATTGAAATCAATTTTCGTCGACGGTGATCTTGATGATTCATCTGTAATGCCTGATGTTCAACACCATTATCGTGATAAAGATCTTCTTCTCACAAATTACTACGACGATGCTGATGATGATATTCGCGATCAGGTAAGATCATATTGAAAGCATTCGCAATGCAAAACTTATCAGCAATCTATCTACTCAGTTGTCTGCTGTCATCGTGCATCGTCTTTTCGTTGCGTTCTCCACATTGTGTTTTTTTTTGTCAACACGTACCTGTTGTTATGACTTAAGATGTTACTCAAAGCTCTTTACAAATGTTATCCCCCAAACAAACCGTGTTTTTGTGTTCTTTCAAAACAGTAGGCATGTTATCATGTCTGATCGAAAATAAGGTTGTTGTGCGACACATTTCGCCTTCAGAATTAATTGAGACGAAAACATAAGAAGAAAAATATTTCCGCATTTTTGTCAGATAGGATCTTATTTACGACTAAACCAGCACCAAACAAACAAAGTAGACTGAATGGGTCTCCGTTACTTCTCATACGCTTCAACACGGCTTAGCATGAGTCACGGAGAGGTTTCGTTCAGGATATAAGAAGCAAACTCCGGTGTTTTTATCTCGAATCGGAAATATTCTGTGAGGAACATTAACGACGACCGAGAATATTATTGCTAGTTCTCGTGTCATCAGATTACATTCTCTTCAGTTCTGTTAGAAATCTAAGAATAACTCACGCATATAGATATATATAAACTTCGGCTCGCTTCGACGTTTCTGGTTCTTTTTATGATAACCTAGAGCTATGAATAAGCATGCATCTTCATCATCACCATCGTTTGCTATGAAGATGTTTGACTGAGTCGAGGTTTTTCTCTCGAAGGAATGATGATTGCAGTCGACTCGTTTAGTCAAGAGTTCTTTTAAACAGACGCGAACAGGCGTCGTTCGATGTGTTCTCACCCTTACACCTCCTCATCTCTTTCGTCGACGATGTCATAAAAACGTGAATTGATATGAATATTATTGAATTAATATTTTTTTTCATTCGAATGCTCTTATTCATCGTTCTTACTCGAGTTGTTTATGTTCGATCAATAGATATATATGTATTCAACTTAGTTACATATAAATATAGCCTTGATAATGAAAATGTCATTTGTTCATGCCTTTCTCTTGCTTGGATTTGTTCGAATCCCTTTACAATTCTGTTACCTCGAGCGAGTAATATATGTGTGATCGATTAGCTCGATTTGAGCTGCCGATTTCACACAATATGTCGAATAATTGGAATAATAGTAAAACTGAAAGAAACAACGGAAATAGGCAATAAGTAATGCACTGTTAGTAATGTATTTGCTGTCAAAAAAGGAAAAAGAAGGAAGAAATTTGCATTCTGTATTAATCAAAAAGATACGAGTAATGATTAAATCTGTGCATACATTATGATTATAAAAGCATCTACGTGCGTATGTTCAATTTGTTCGATGCAGATGTGCATGATTTCTTTTTTCTTTTTTTCTTATTCCCTTCATCATTAAAAACGTTCGAACGGAAATCATTAGTTATTGCTTTCGGGGAACGAGAGAGAGAGAAAACTCGAAGACAAGATACGATCAGCAGGTTCAACCGTCTCGTGACAATGATCAATGTTGACGGGCTCACATCATTCGAACATATGTACGTGTATATGAGTAGTAATGGAGGAAAGAGAAGAAAAAAAGAAAGAAATGGAGACACCTTGACGATCTGTGTATGTGTAGAGAGCACTACTGACGAGAGGAAAAAGAGAAGAGAGAGAGAAAAGGAGAAAGAACGAAGAGAAACATAGGGCAACTTTGACAAATCATTAGCCAGTCAGGCGCTTTGCTTATGTGACATGCTGACAGAAATGAAGTCCGTTTGTCACTGTTAACAATTGAGAAACAACTGAAACAATAAATAGCACAATGTTTGATGCGGATAATGATTTATGGGTAAGAAGATTGACTTGAAACAGAAGAAAAAATATGATTAAACATGATTACTCTGAAATTTACAGCATAAGAAAATTTTCTTCACGTTTCAACAATGTTAGTCAACGCGAATAAGATTCATTTCTTTTACTTTTTCTTATCCTATGATTACGTGACTTTCTCGATCAGTATAAAATAATATTTCTACTAAGAAAGGCATTGGTTACCAGTCACCTGTATACACACACACACACATATAAATGATGACCTTTAACCTAGAATAATTGAGTGCTCTTGTATTTAATTGAAAAAAAGACGTCCATAGTTTATTTAACATTGAATATTTAATTAGAATTCACCATTCTTCGGTCTGTTTCCACCAACATCGGATGGATTATCAAATACATTACTTTCGGCATGTCTTAGTCATGATAGTTCAGGTTCGAGTTCAAATGGTTCATCGACTGCATTTTCGTTTACTGACTCAGCTTATGCATCATCACAATCACCACCACCACCGCCGTCATCGTCATCATCACAATCCCAACACTCGACTAATCCAACTAGTCAATCAATTTCGATCATGCGCGGCTTTCAAGTTCAACAACAAGGACAACCATTTCCAGCACAGAAACAATCGATGAAATTAACTCATTCGACATTACTTGCTGGCTTGACAACATCATCACCAAGTTCAAGTTTATCGAGTGTTCATTCAACGGCCGATAATCCTTGTTGTTCGTCATCACCATTCTATCACAAACAACAGCAACAACATCAAGAAGATCACTACAACTTCTGGAATTGTCCCAATTGTCAAGAAGCTTACAAACAAAATCAACCGCAAGTTCTCCCGTGTTTTCATTCACTATGCGAAACATGTATTGAGAAATTAGCTGACAATGGTACAATCTCTTGTCCGTTGTGTGGTTTGTCAACTATGTTATCCGATATTCTGCCTGATTACACAATGCAAAATCAACCATCGAATGTTTCAAATGAATATATGTTATCATTAGGCGATGGGTCGACACAATTTTGTACAGCATGTAAAAGTTCAGAATCAATGGCCGTAGCTAAATGCTTCCAATGTTCGAGCTTCCTTTGTCATCAATGCGTTTGTGCACATCAAATTATGAATTGTTTCGAAGGCCATCGTGTAAGTTGAAAACGAAACTAGTTGCTTTTCTTTTCTGTTCTCTTTCTTCAATGAACTCCTTTCACTTGTCGAACGGATTTGATTTGATTGATTTCTTCTATTCTTCTCATCTTTTACTAAACAGACATGCACACAAGTAATCTAATAAGATTTATTGAATATGCATTTCCCTAATTCTATTAGACTTTTCCTTCATCTTTCCGATCTTCTTCCTCTTCTTTTTCAAAAAAAGATACATCCAACCACTTTCACATCTCATTCCAGTTAAATCCGATTTCTTTTCTTTCTCTCTTTCCCGCAATGCATGCAAACGCCTTGCATGGTTTCCATAAACTAAGACCATGAATATGCATCTATTTCCATCCAAGGCAAGGGAACAGAAGAGCCAGTCTGAGAACAAATTAGCTGCAACGATAGATGGATCATCCATATGTCTCCATCGATTGTCGACAGACGAATGTTTCTGTCCAGAAAACGAAGGTTTCTCTTTCCATTGTTTCCAGGGCTTTATCGATGGATCAAAGAAAAAACCGACTACTCGAGTGCATGTATGTGGCAAAGCTTTTCACCCAATCGATATAAAACATCTTCAGGAAGAATAGAGAAAAAAAAAGACGGATGATGATTGTTCTTTCTCTGCAGTATTTCATTCAATTAAAGAGAGAGAGAGAGAGAGAAACGAGAACAGCATAGTCATTCTGACGGAAGAATTGCCAAATGAAAGAATGCGCGTAGACAGTCAGTGTATTCAAGTTTCTCTTCTGCTTTTTAGGTTGTTCATATAAAAGAACTCGACGCGAATGGAAATGATCATCGAGTAATGTTTTGTCCAATACACAAGAACGATGCGTTGAAATATTTCTGTGCAACTTGCAATATGCCAAGTAGAATTCTCGCGAGTCTAAACCGACTTTTTCTTTCAACATGTTCGTTTAGTTTGTAATACATGCACAACGACCGATCATGGACGTGCGGGTCATGAATTTTTTGCATTAAACGATGCTGGTAGGTTATCAAGGTCTTTGTTTTTTCCCGTCGAACCCTGACTTTTTGCTTCGATAGGCTCACATCAAGTCGCCAAACTGCAGCATATGGTAGAAAACACTCGTCAACGTATGTCGGATTTGAAACACTCGCAGCAAACCGTTGATCGATGTTATAATTCATTACAAGTAACTTCTATAACATATTTTCATAACAAATCATTATATTTCTATAGAATCAATATAATAAAGCTCAGCATGATATCAACGAAACTTATAATTTCTATCGTCAATTACTCGATGAAAGAAAGCACGATCTTATCAAAGTAAGAAAGTTGAAATGAATGAAAGAAAAAGTCAATTGATTGCTGATTGAAATCAAAAGGAATTGGACACTTCGTTCAGTGAAAAACAAAATCTATTAACAAGTCAAATGCAAAAGATCGACGATGCCATTGAACGAGCGAACCTAGTAAATAATTCATCACATTCTGCACAAGAAAAAGTCGACTTCTTACTTTAGCCATTGGAGTTCTCGGATCGATTATTTAAGAATTCGTCAACGACGGAAATTTTAATGTTCAAGAAACAATTGGAAACGAAACTGAATACATTAAATCAGAGCATACCTGACAGCAACGGACAATCGGCATTTGAATTAGAATTTGTCTCAAATTTTCAAGTACAAAATTCAGATTGTTTTTTGTCTTCAATGTATCTATGAAAACGTTCTTTAGGCCATTCAAACTGGAGTACGAAACACGTTTGGCTATGTTCGTTCATCAGCAGAAACAGCACCAACGATGGTAAAATCGAGTTTTCACGAAGAAATGCGTCTAAATTCCTTTGTTTTAGAATAACCACTATAAACCCCGACCACAAAAAGTAAGAACAAGTTCAATGGTTCTTCGAAAACCTATCAATTTCGTTTTTATTTAGTTAACCAACGATAATTTTAGTAAAGTGATCGGTCCACCATCACTCAACGGATGTCACAATCATAATAATCATCAGTTGCAAACGAATCTTCCATCATTAAGTCCAACAAAGTCGATTCCCCAACAAACAAACAACAACAATCATGTATTAAACGGCATTGACATTCTTTCATGCAGTTTACCACAAACAACATTGAATAAATACTCGAGTTTATCTTCGTCAACACCAACACCTGTTAGTTTCTCTTTGTCATCAAACGCTTTGGATATTCATCCTTATGAATTATGGTCAAATGCAGCGCAAATGGCTGCAACGTCACAACAACAATTGTCAAGTTCGTTAGCATCGAGTAACGGAAATGGAAATCTTAATGGGCAAGATTCTGTCGTCGATCTGGTTGATAGTTTATCATCCATGGATGGTTATTCGGCAATGGCATCGAATTTATTATTACCAACACGTTCGAATAGTTCGACCATAAAACGACAAAAAATGATTTATCATCAGAAATTTGGCGAATTCGGCGTTCTCGAAGGACAGTTTACTGAACCATCAGGCGTAGCTGTCAACGCTCAAGGTGACATCATTGTTGCTGATACCAACAATCATCGTATACAAATCTTCGATTCGAATGGTAGTGTAAAAACAAACGAGCGAGAAATCTTCAATGACCTATTTTCTTTCTTTCAGGACGTTTTCGTTTTCAATTTGGTGAATGTGGCAAACGTGATGGACAGTTGTTATATCCCAATCGTGTTGCTGTCTTTCGTCAATCGGGCGATATTGTTGTTACTGAACGTAGTCCGACACATCANAATGAATAAGAAGAGTTATAAGAAAACAAACAGTGTTCGTTTTTTTTGTACTACTATTATTACTATCATTTGCATACTCATCATTAATATTTCTCCTTGTTTGTTTTTATTTCTGTTCTGTTTTTTTTTCTCGTTGTTATATATTGAGTTTTTATTAAATATATCCTAGTTATTGTTTAAATTATTCCGATAAGCTTCTCAATTGAACAGCGGATGGATAGAGAAGACGTTCGGGAATATTATCCTAATGAACAGAACGTCAGCTGGAACGGAAGTGTTAATCTATGATGAAATTACTTATTAACACAATACAATTCCCAGGCAAAGAATAGAAGATGACTTTGGGGAAGAAATCTGTCAGTAAATCTGAATATTTAATGTTAAAACAATGACCTAGACTAGCATGGATCAGTTTATTTGTCTTCATAATCATTTGCGATGTTCCATCGCTGGATAAATATCAGAAAGAAGTATATCGTGTATATTCCTAATAATTGTGTTGATCACATCGAGCTAGGGAAAGACTTTTTCTAATGTCTTTCATACACGAATAGAAAGCGAAGGATCCCGCTGAGCAATCATCGATGTCATTATATGAAAAAAGAAAAATTTTGCGATGATTTCATCTACATATGGTCAATAATTATTGTGTACATGTTCTGTGATTTTTTTCCTCTCCTTATCTTCTATCTTGACGGGTTTTTTCTTCTTCTATGTCTTATACAAAAATGCAAATACAAGTTGTCTTGTATCAAGTAAATATATTTCATCGCTTTTTTTCATATTATTGTCAAGTTTCTTTTACGAGCTTTTTTGAACCCTTTCTTATTTGCCCTTTTTTGTTTAATTATCTCGATTGTAAGAATGAGCTCATTAACAACGTATGTTCCTATCCCCGAGGATATATATCATGACTGTAGTCGTACGATCATCGATGACAAGACTAACATATGTAAGTAACTTTTGCTTAAGCATGATCATTGGGAAAAGGATTATTTCTATTCATCGGCATTCGCAAGAGTGGAATGAAAAAGCGTAGGAAATCGACTTTCCTTTCCTAGATTTGATTAGTTTTTTTCCATCACAAGAGAATCCAAGCAAAGTATCGTGCGATAATAGTTCAATCCAAGGACATGGCAAAACTACATTGTTACGAGAATTTTGTTTGTATATATATTTGTTAGATAAACGGCATATGTCGACTTTTTTTCTCTCTCGATGTGTATCTGAAGAATGAAGTTCGTCGTTTCATTGTTATTTTTACTTATGAAATCACATAAGCATCACTTGATGGTGTTGACAGTCATCGCACGTACGGTTTTTCTCTTTTGATAATACGATTGTTGAAATCTGAAAGAAAAAAAATTGGCGTTTGTGTGTGCGTGTATTGCTTCGACCATTTTAGATCATGTAATATAGAACGATTAGGAAGTTTCAATAATGAATCCGGAAGAACAGCGGACAAGTTGTCCTGGCTTTCTAGATGAATACGGTGTGTGGAACAATGGATTTGAATGTCCACCACTAGGCGGACAACGACGAATATGCTGTGGAACCGACGCTCATCTGTACTGTTGCTCTATCGGACATTCATTTTCAAATCGGCAAGAAAAATCTTCCATAACAATCACGGAACCAACGTTTTCTTTCGCGGAAAAACTGAACGCAATCTTTTTCACACTTCCTATCCTATTAACATGCATTTTAATTGTGATTCTCCTCTTGATTATCATCATGATCATTTTATTCATTTGCTATCGTTGCCGACAACAAAATCTCCGTGAACGTGAAGTGCCCGTCGCAACTAAACAAGCATTACTCGTCGAACATTTACCATTTACTCCTCCACATCACCCAATCTATTTCAACGAAACTAGCCCACAAACATGTCTTCTACATTCTCAAATAAAAGATCCTCTAACAGCAAGTACAACATCGTCAAAGTCGAATGCCTTCGCGTCTGGTATCTATTACAACGATTGGCAAGAGTTTTTCAACACAACTGACCAACCAATGAATCTCTATCCGACTATGTCAACACATAGTAATGAAATACCAAATGAGAATTCGTATCTCCATCCACATTGTCTCTTCAATGGCAAACAGCAAATACAAGATGATATCATCGTTTAAACGAGTGTTTTGCGTCTGGATTTGTGTACATACATTTTTATGTTTCATTTCAAGTTTCAATATAAACAAAGCGATTTGATTGATTGTCATCACCATCTTCGTTCGGTTCAGATTATACATTGATTGATCATTCATTCATGTGTTTATGTATCTATCTGTCTATCTCTCCTGCAAGGAAATTTCAACTGTTCCATTGCTAATGTCATGTTATTTCGGCAAATCAGATCAGTGATAAGAATCTCTCCAAAGATGTCAAGGTAAGTGTTCGATTCGAGCAAAGTGAGCTTGAAAAATGATAAGCAAACATGTCGATATTTCATATGATTATATAATCGAGAGACAATGATGATTAAATCGGATAAATAAATTCTTTGCATATGGATGATCTGCACAGCATGAGACACGTTGTTCCATCAAATGTTGATATCATTAATCACTAGATCTAGTTATATGTCAATCGTTCGATAACTTCAAAAGTATATATGTATGCATATACTTTTCTTGTTTTTATATAACAAAGGGATGAAGATTCTCAATGGTAGAAGAAATGTTTATTTATAAGAAAAAAAAATTGTGATTTATCATTGATATTCAGATTGACAATAGAATACAAAAGATAAGATTCGACTTGTCAACAGTCAAGGAAATTCGCTGCCATTAGTAATTCGAGTGCTTCATCAGGCGCAATTATAAAATCTGGAATTTCGATGGTGGAATTGGAATATCGTGCTTTGTATGCGAAGTACGAACAGATACGAGCAAGGACCTATGATTGAAACATTTCTCCAACAAAATCAATTCCAACTGACATTACCTGTGAGCTAATACTTCGAAAATGGATGACATTTGTTTCGTTTTCTGCGTATTGTCCTATAAAAAAGCAAAGGTTCGAAAGTTTTCCTTGATGGAAATTGCGCACAAACCCGGTCCACTTAACATCGCTTTAATTGTTTGTGAAGTAAGAGCAAGATCACGTTTAACATAGAATTCATGATCGTCTGATGAAATTAATTTGACATACATATCATTTGGAATGTCTGCTAATGGGACTTTATCTGCTTCATCGTCAGCAGTCATCATTTTCATAATTGTGTCCATCTTCGCAGCTAATTTGTGGTCTTTCGAAGAAAGTGATGAAATCGATCTGACCGAATTTCAACTATCTGCGCGTAATAATGAAAGAAAAAATTTCGTTTGGTGTTGCTAATATACACAGATCATTTTATAGGCTGTTTACAAACGAATCGGTTTTTCTATACTTCGCCCTGAGAGCCATCTACAGTGAATATTCGCTTTTCACCTTTCATCATTCATATAATCAAGTCTGCTCACGAGAGGAAATCGTTTTTTAACACAGATAAAGGTACATGATATTTCAAATAGCAAAATCCCTGATTTGGCATCTACTCGTAGAAATCCTGGAAAAAAAATCTTCGCCTACAAATCCAACAGTTGACAGACGGATTAGTGTATGTACCTTCTAAAAGAATACCTGACATTTCAAAATAATCACATTTATGAAATATGATTGTTTTTCATGACGTCATGTGTTTTCACTGGTCAAAGTTTTCTCCCCTGGTAAATGAACTTTCCTGCCAGACATTTACCGAAAACTTTCTCATTCATTTACTATAGTCATGAACTTGACATTGTTCTATTCTTAGCAGTCTGGAGTACTGGCTGACGTAGAACGGCCTTGCTAGCTGATGTGAAGAATGTATCGGTCATTGTTAACGGAAGTATTGCTTTCGAATTTTTATTTAACATTATAGAAAAAAAAAACGGCTGTGTACAAAAGAAAAATTCAACTCGGAGGAAAGCTTATCGATGGTATTAATAAGACAATGAAAAGAGAAGAAAAAGAATGAATGAATGAATGAATGAAGAAAAGAGACCATTGTTTTTCCTGTCTACGCTGTTGTTGCTATATTTTTTTTGTCCAGAAGGTTCATAATTTGTTTTCTTTTGCTTGTTTACAATTAACAGAGATTCACAACATATAGTTATGTGACAGCACATATGACTAGACTGTCTATGTCTTATTTTATACATCGATTTCAATTACTGTCATTTTCTTCGGCAGTTGCAAATGGCACGCCGGTATTTGCGTCGACTTCCTCGAAAAACAAAGTTAACCATTTCTTTTCGAGGCAATCTTCCAGTTGTCGACATGCTATCAGTAAATTGGGGGATTTTTGAAACCAATCATGATAGATCACACCAGCGGAATGCATACGGTGACCGGCATCAGGAACTAGTAGACGAAGACGTAGCAGATCTTTGACTTCTTCTGTTACACGATGGAATATTTGATCCTCAAACAATTTCGGAATGTTTTCGAGTTGTGGCAATATGTCTTGATCTTCATGAAATGGAAAGTAACCAGTTAAACTGACAAAAATAATTACACCAATCGCCCACATACTAAAAAAGTATGCAATTTTCTATACATAATCCATTTTCGTGTAGAGAAAAGTTGAAACTTACTCCACTGTCTTATTATAGCCTCGAGTATGACGTAATTGGTCATGAGATACTTCAGGTGGTAAATAAGCGGTTGTGCCCACTTTCGTATAACGTAATGAATGTTCATGAATCGTACGTGCGTAGCCAAAATCGCCTATAGAAAGGAACAGAAGATTATAAAGTTCTCGCGGGCTCATGTCATTGAAAAATACTCACCAACTTTCAAATGGACGACATCGTCGGGGAAAATGTTAATTAAAACGTTGTCGGGTTTCAGATCACAATGTCTAGAAAAAGTTGAAAACATTTCATCAGAAGAAGATGACGAGGGTAGACTATCCTACGCGATATTTTTAAAATGTAAATATCGAATAGCTGCAACGAGCTGAAATGCCAGAAATCTTGTTACATCTTCAGTAAGCCGCGCTTTCGGATTTGTATTCGAAAGAATGAAATTCAACATGTCAGTATCCAAACGTTCGGTTACGAGAAGAATGTGTTGATCAAAATCAAAAATACCTTCGAATTTGAGAATGCCTGCAAAGAAAGAATTCGGTTGGTTTTAATCTCCTTTGATATCGAATAACAAATGCAAACCAGGATGATTCAATTGAAAAAGATAAGCAGCTTCTTGTTCGATATTTTCTCGATCTTTTTGTGAACACTGTGTCATTTGAATCTTCTTTATTGCAATACGTACGCCATTGCGACGCATTGTCCCGCCAAATACCATACCGAATCGTCCCATACCGAGAATTTCTTTTTCATTCATATCATAGAGGTCAGCGAAATCTTTCGTTTCGCCATCTGTTCCACGAACGATCTTAAAAGATGAACGGGCCCGACGATCATTCGTCGATTGAACAGCTTCGTTGATTGCATCGAGCAGTAAACAGGCCAGTTTTTGATAGACAATCGCCTGCGATGGTGGTGAGCCGGAGATGTTATCAAGATAGGCAGAACCATTTGTCGAAGAATTCGATGATGGATGAGATCGACTAGCTAAAAGAAATCCGGCGATTCTTATCTTATGAGTAAGGAACTTTCCGTACAAATATTACCGTCGATATCTGAAGCATTGATTTCGAATACATGTTTGTTTCCTTGTTCGTCGCGTTGGGTGAATTTGAATTTTTTCTTATCGTATGAGATTTCTGCACGTTTACTGTGTCGACTCTCCCGTCCGAATTGTCCCGTTGCTGTCCAAATACCGTCTTTTTCTTGGCAATTCGTTAACTTGATATCTTTACGACGATCTGGTTTGATATTAATATGTGGAGGTGGAGTGCGAGTATTGCCATCTTGAGAAGTCCGGGCATTCTTTCGTGAATGGCTTGGTACTGGCGCAGGCGTTGAAGTTCCATTGGAATTCATTGATGTGTTTGATGAATCATGTTTCGAGTTGATCAAGACATTTTTCGAAGAAGCTGTCGAGAGAATAGACGATGTACTTGAAGTCGGCGTTCCAAGTGTCGACTTCGAGTTCGATGCACTTCTGCTTATAGACGACGTGAATAATTTGACAAATTTTGTTCGTTTTGGTGGAGTGTGAGAACCATTGGAGAGATCTCGATCTTTATAAACTTTACCAGGTGACATGGAGCTTATCGTTGTGTTTGACGAAGCACGACGTACGACTGAAGTCATACCGGGACAATCAGCCGGCAAATGTTCAGCACATTGATGATGATAATCCCGTCGACATATTTTACATCGCTTACCCTGGAATTTGCAATCTTTGCGAATTAAAAAATCCAAGAGCAAATAACATTTCCTACCTGTTTAATTAAACCCCACATGAAATAATCGCAAGAGGAGCAGTACGTTGGTTTTTTATAGTTATGTTCGACAAGTACATGATCACGAGGATGAACATTCGTTTCATGATCGGATCTCCAAATGACAATCTCAATAAAACATGTCGGCGTTAAATCGCTCGGACGCGTAATTAATCGTAAACTCGGCGGTTGAAGATCCGGTGAAATGAGAAATAATTTAATATGATGACGGTGATTATTCACTTCAAGACTACCAATTGCTTTCGCGACAATTTCAGTCGCCTGTTTATGAAGATTATTGAGAACATCAGGATTGGACTTATCGATTTGAATTGATTGATAAGTTATACCGAATTTCAAGCAAATAAGCATTAACTCTTGGGAGAATTGTCGTACAGCCATGACGAATTTGTCCAAATTAATCGTCTAGTTTATCATATCTACAATGAGATTTACTCACTTTATATCGGTGCATATGGCAGACCTGCAGAAAAGAAAAGCGCGGCTCTATGTTTGTGGTAGACAGAGATAAGTCAATGTCTCTTTCGTTCTTTACTTTTTTTTATAATAAAAAAAAAAAGAAAATACTTCTTGCTATTCTTTTCCACCTTTCTTCTGCTGACAAAGTAGTAAAATGACGAATACATAATCATGACATTTTTATCCGTCATCAGTAAATGGCGGATGATGATGGAATCTGGGTGTGGGCTCTTCACGATTATTTTTCTTCTAATCTCTCTACTAGTGGCATTAAATAAACTTTTCTCTAATAATAAACGAGTTCCCTGATTCGACACCAACTACTCAGATATCCGAAGTAAAGAATGGACCTTAATCTCTTCCCTCCTCATTGCAACCCTCGAACAAACAAGAGACTGTCTCCGATTACTATCATATTCATGTCTTCTTATCACTTCTCATCAATGACGGCCGGTATTACTTAGTAGATCAGATTCATCCTTCGATAAAAATCGATAGTCGAAGCAATGAAACTTTACTAGTCGCTTCTGTTTTCGTTTTTCTCTTTCGAATGATAAGATAAATTTCCCCCGAAAAACAACAAACGAGTACGATCGGTATAGGTCGCATAAATACAACGTCTTTATCGTGCATTTTGTTTTCTTCCTCAAAGTGAAATATACCGTCAACATACCTTACGTCTTCTATTGCTTCACATACACATTAAAACTGTTCTCTCGATCAACAAAACCGAGTTGTGATTGAAAAAAAAAGTAGGAAAAAAATATCTGTAAACTATAATGCATAATAAATCTTTGCCGCACGTCGATGTTGATCTGAAGAAGAATCCCAATTTGACTAAGGATACGATATTCTCTTCTCGAATATTTGCGTTTCTTTCTTTTTCTATATTCAAATTCGTATGACGAAAAAAAACATATACGACGACAACTATTAATATAAAAACGTGATTGGCAAAAAGATTTTTTTATTTAGATTCATTCTTAATGTGCTGTCGCGTTGTTATGTTACGCTTCTTTCGCTCTCTGTTCTTTATTTTCTTTCGACTACACATACGATGCGTTGATGTAAAAAAAAACGAGAGAGAGAAGAAGAAAAAACGTAAAATTACCGACCGACAAATAGCCATGTTAATCGTAGCACATATGTCTTTACATACTTAACAGTTCAGCTCGCAAAAGCTATTTATCTAGGTTATGGATTGAGAGAAGATATTACTTTCCATTTAACACGTATGCATCGTGTTGTCAATAGTCTGACTCATAATATTGATCTTAACTCATCGGTGACTTGTAAATATGCGCAGCACGATTGCCAATTAGTGATATTTCACCTCGCATGACTTTTTGAGAACAAGAGATATGCAAATGAATTCATTTCGGATATCGTATTTTGATTAGATGAAAACAACAAGTCGCTTCCAACCGTTGCATTGTGTATACTCACATACAAAATGTTCAGGGAAAACTCCCATTCCGAATTAACGGGCCTATGTAATTAATATAGGAAATGTTGACATGAACACGTTCAAAGAAAGCAAATAGAAACCCAATCTCATTATCATACGTTATTAGAACAAGAACAATGTTCTTTCCTTCAATTCTATTTCTGATTCAATCTGTTGTAAATCCAAATACAGAACAATAACTCCGACAGAAATGTGCTGGAACTTAATGTTCTTTTCAATAGTAAAAGAAATGTCGGAATAATCACATACATGTCATATTTAATAAACAACTCGATTAGTAATTATTGTCAAAATGACTTGAGTATTAGTCTTAATCATTATTATAGAGAATCTCGAAGACAATCCTTGTTATGTTCTCTAATACAAGAGTTATGAGTGATTTTTCTACTTCGTAAAGCATTAAAAACCGTAAACACCCAGAGAATTCTTTCAAATTGACTGCAGACTTCTCTCTCAAGTTTGTGCCAACACGCTATATCTCGATTTAATATTTGCTTTTCTGATCCGTTGCATGCTGACACGTCATATATTATGATTTTAGCCTTATCTATCAAGAACATTTCCTTGCCATACGCATTTATTGGTGAACAGCGAAGGGAGGCATTATGCGCGATATTCCAAAAGAAGATTATTTCATTTATTTGACAAAATAGAGAAATACAATTTCACACGATCACTCGATGGAAAAAGTAACTTTTTGATTAACAACAAAGGTGTTGCTTCACTCAAACACGAATCGTAGAAGAACAAATAGATTTGATGCGGCAATGTTATGTCACATATCTTTTCGATATATTTTCTTATATAACTGATGTCTAATTGTGAATTAACGCAGAGATATTTGCGTGGATATTGCTTGATATTTAACGATGGATCAATCGATTTCCGACACAATTCTATCTGCAGTGCAATCGGAGTTGTGGAAATTTGCTGACGAGGAATCGTTGATTGATGATGAGTTTGGGAACGTAAACGAGTGTGACCATGTTTATCAGTAAAACGCATTGGTGAAGGATTATGTACAACCCGAAGTTTCAGACGAAGGTCTTTCGGCATTGGCAAAGACTTGTGCTCGTAAAAATGTTTTTCATTATGAATTTCATCGATATCTAACGCTGGCAGTAACGAGCGTAGGACATCACCCAACTGTCTATCGGGCATCAAACATTTCGATATATCCGAAAATGGTTGTAGCTGAATTTGACATTTCGGACATTTAAGTTCCGAACGTGGTGAAGTTTCGAAGTGCAACAGAATACATGTCCGACAAAATGTATCCATACATTCCTTTATTGTATACGGATCAACAAGATAACCATGACACAGTGAACATTGTACAAGTGAATTGATATCAAGTAAAGAATAATACAGAGAGTCCATGACGAAAGAAAAGGAATTGAATTTCATTTCATTTTGAGAAAAGACAATCAGTGACAAACCAATGGAAGACAAATGCGATAGTGTCGCTAGATAACAACGATACAAAACGAAGGCATTTATTCACATAGATATCGAATTTTTCGTCGATAGACGATGTTCTTCGAGAGAATGTCGAATATGAACGCGAGAATTTGTACGGCAATAAGTATGGAGAGAAAAATAATCAGACGTAATGTAGTTTGATTATAATCAAACGAGAAGATTTCGAAGTAGAGACAAGAGAGGAAAATGAGTAGATTTTCTAACGAAATCAACGCTTGAACAGCGAGATGATCGATGGCATTTGGTGTTAAGAAAGAAAAGATCATTTGCAAGAAGATTGTATTTCGTTTATGTTGATATTTGAATTGATCAAATAAGAAAATGAAGATGAAAGTTAAATGAAGAAGAAGACAAATGATCGAGAGCCACCAAATACCGAAACGAAGAAGAAAGAGAATGGTATACAGACGTGTAACAATTGAACACAGCCGCGAAAAGATTGATGGAAGAATTATGAGCGAACACTGTTGGAAACGAAGAAATGTTGATAGAAGACAATAGTTGATCACGATGTAATAGAGAATATTGAGAAACACATAGCAAGATAACGATGGAAGACGAATGAAGATTGGAATATAGGTTGGAAAGAAAATCTGTGTCCAGTTGGACGAGAATATTCGATGAGAAAGATAACTTTCGTGAAGATGAAATTTTTGCCAATAACTAAAGAAAAGAAATCGATCGATATCATGTACTAGGACAAGATTTTGACAACACGCTTTTAAAAGGTTATGTCTGCTTAGGAAATGAATTACCTGGTTGGAGAATGAACAGGAAGTGCATTGCTTTCTGCTGGTGATAGAACATCATCCGATAACCAGCGTGGAAGAAAATAGTTCATGTGAATGGAAGATTGAATGGATAATTCGAAGTTATTTGACCAAAAATAAAAATTTATCAAGGAGAATAAACCTGCGTGAATGAGATAGAACACCGACAGTCCATAATACAATTTTTGTTTTCTTGAGCAACGAATTAATGTTGTATCATGTTGAAGTTCCAGTGTTGTAGATGATAGCGAATTCGATCGGTGTAATCGTTCGTGTTTATCGAAAGCCAGAGTGAGAAAATCGATTAGTTCGTAAAGTAAATAGAATCGATTCATGAACGGGATCAAGAAGAAGTAAGATAGAGCGGTTTTATACTGAAGCAGATGGTTTATCCAGAGAATCAAATCACATAGAATAATCGTACTGAGAAAACTGAAGAAATAGAATGAATTGGTATGATAATAGATGTATATGAGAACAATATCGAGAATGTTTGTAAAAAGAAATGAGAGAATGAGGAAGCTGAAGATAGAAAATGATTTCCTTGAGTGAGATTTGATCGATGCATGATCTTCATGTTGGATTTGAGATGAAGGTCCATATAAAGTTGAATAGGATAAACTTTTTGTTAAATCAATCGACAATTTCGATGTGACTCCTTCCAAATGAAGCGGATCCAACGTTGTTGCTGATGACGACGACGATGAATGAACGCGACTTTCGTTAGCAAATGGAATCACTTCCGTATTTCTCAACGTGTGAGTACTTTCGATCGATTCCGTGCCACACGTTGTCCAGCTATACCGAATATCTGCTACATCGCTTGGAAACAAGTACAAATTTGTTCCATTCGCTGATTGTTGTTGTTGATCTGGATTAAAATTCAAATCAGCAAGGCTGGTATGTTGACAAACAAGTAAATGACATTTGGGACAAGCGCTCAAGCTAAACGAATGATGAAGCACGTTCATTGCTTGACTTGGTAACTAACCTACAAACGAGTTGATATACGAATCATCATAAATTCAAATATCTTCTGGCTTACACTCAGACGTCTCTAGACTATTTCTACTTGAAAGTAACAGTCATTGATCTGTCAACAATTGAACGAAGTTTCATTGCATATATATATCTAAACAAAATGACTCAATGAAAGATTTATATATTCAGTGCCATTCTCCATTGAACGGCGATGAGAGAAAGAAAAAGAAACAAAAGAGAGTGGTCAATACTTCATCATGCCTACATTTTCTCTTTTATCAATTTCGAATTAAAGCTAAGAAGTTCACTAAGATGAACATATTTACTTTTGTTTCACATCCTACTTGACTGTATTGTATGAAGTTAATGAAACAAATGTAGGAGGAAGAATTCGAGTTCCATTGGACATGAGAAGTACAGCGCAGACTCGATGATAGACGAGCCCGTCAGATCAGCAGATAATCATTCACAACAAACGTTCGGTTGACTGACTAATCAGCAGAATGCCTCTCTACTTGGCACTCTAATTAGATTTTATTTACAGTCTGTTGTGTTCGATCTAATTAGTACACACACGCACACACTCGACAATGATCTTTCTTTCAAATGTTCATCAGTTAGATAAGTGTTTGCATAAGAACTTGTCTTGTAAGTATTACATCGAGGTATGTTTATGAACATTCAAGAATAATTGACGTTCGAATGAGAATCAAAACGAGTGTACTTATGATGCAAATGAGAGGTCATTAAAACCGACGGAAATTCGAAGAAGGATCGGATTGAAAAGAAAATGATTCATCATTCATTATTTATTGTTAAATAAACAAATACTGAATAACAATTAGACAGTAATCGAAACATTATGAATGAAACTATTCGATTTTGAAGATGTTGGATTGGTACTGTTGTTATTATTATTATTGTTGTTGTTGATATTCGATGACGTATAGATAACTGGTATACGTCCAGCGCGGTAATTGTTCATTTGAATATGAATAAATGGCGTTGTGCTATCGTCTGTCGATGAGTTTGTACTCGAAGTTGATGATGATGAACAGGAAAGAGAAGGTCGATGATGAGTCAAACGAATCGGTGTCGGTGGAGAAAGAGAATCGTTTTCAATTTGGTTGAGACTTAAATCGGAAAAATGCCTTTCAAGTGCCATTTTCGATGGAATAATAGCCGGAGGTAAAGATGGTTCTGCTAGAACGATGTGACGTAATTGTTGTTCTTTAATCGTTTTGAATGGGTCTGGTGATGATGATGTTGATAGTTTTGTGCATAGAGGTTTTTTCACAATGGATTGAATATGATGTGGCAATGAGCGACGTGCGTACGGCGTTTGACGTATGTTTGTTAATGAGTTGAGGTTGTTTGCATCGATCAGATATTTCGATGTTGGAGATGAGACTTTGGTGGTTTCGTCGTAGCTGTCGTAGAGACGACGAAAATGACTTCGATTAAATGATGAGCTTAGTGGTTCTTGATCTTGGTGAAATGATTGATGATTTTGTTGACGTTGATTACTAAAACAAAGTTGAACAAAAAAGAATCGGTTAGCGTCAGTGGTTGAGATGCAGTTTGCAACCAAAGCGATAAGCACAATCGTTTCAATTTGAAAAATTCGAAGTAACCACACAACAAAGCCGATCCTCAAGGTTTCTACTCTGTGATTCTCTGTTATATATTATTTTTCAATTGAGATTGTGCAATAACATCGTTTTCCTTTCTTACCCTTCATGTCGCTGTGGTTTCTTGACAATTTGAGTAAATGCACTGTTACTCGAAATGGATAATTGCGATTTCATGAGACTTGGCTTGTTCGATTTCTTCAATGGAAGATCTTGTACAATAAGACCGGTTTTCTTAATGATAGTCGAAGATAAACGCAACGAACGAATGTTTGATAAACGTGCTGTTAACAAGTCTAAGGTTGGGTGATTATTCGATGAAGATTCACAATCTGATACACCCGAATCACCGCCACACGATGATGATGTAACGTCTTGACGTTTTTTATTCGGCGAAGATTTTTGAAATAAATACGTGGGCGAGCAGAGGTGAGTTGACAGTGAATTCTTTTTACTAGTCGGCGGTGTCAATGTCGGAGGTGTTTTCATACAATGAGATTTATTTGATTCGAAATCGTATGGTTTGTATGCACTTTCGAATTGACTAGTCGAATGTTTGGCCGACTGACGACGAAACATCGGACGGCAGCAGACATATGGAACAAAACCTTCTTCGTCGTCAGCAGTCTTAATAAATAACCATTCGTTCAGGATGTATTGCGCATTGACAGGAAATCCTCGTTGAATTTCGATTTGTTTCTTTTGTAAGCCCTTCACGTCGGGATTGAAGGAAACGACGACTAACATGGGAATATTCGCTGGTGATTGCGATGAAGCACGGCGAAGTTTCTCTGTGACGCCGATATCATCATCACCATCCGATTCATCTAAACTCGCTTGCCGCATCAATCGTTTTGGTTTATCTATAGAAATAAGCGAAAATGATCAATGTCAATCATTACACAGATAAAACACTCAAGGCAAAGATGATTAGCTAATAGAAATTTCTTCCTATAGATCATTGTCTTACCTGTTCGCACGGGGACGTGTTGATCAGCAGATGCTCGTTCGCTCGTTTTTGTTGGAAATACTGTTGCACCATCGTATAATGAATCACGTTTAGCTGTAGTACATAGACAGATTTCTAAATTTGTCAAATGAAAAAGAAATAATAGAGCCTGCTTATGATGGAAGGGAAGAAATAAAGTGAAATAATCATGATTCTCACGTTTATTGGTTTCAGTGGAAGAACGAGTGCGTGCTCGTTCAAAGAAGCGTCTTAATAACATGGTAATGCTTGTATACTTGACAAAAAAAAGGATCGATGCTGTTAGGAGAAAAGTAGGAAATAATGTTACACGGTATTGCCGTCCTCGTGTCGCCTACAATTTCTTTTCGTTGTCGCTGACTTTTTCACAATTACATCAATGTATATAACGAATGGCAAGTAACTGCACAAAAGACATGAATGAATACCGTATCGAATGTATATATATATATAGGTGTGTTGTACTCGAATGCGCACATCACCTTGAACATTCATCCATCGATAGAAGGAGAAAAGAGGAGAAAAAGGGCGAGAGAAAGCAACTGCACGAATCTCGTTCAAAATCAATACCTAAATGAATTATCTGGACAAAATTAAATAAATATTCAATTTTTTGCCTAGATTATCACCCATAAATGAGTTGTTAATCAAATCTACAGATGTAATTAATGAGCTACATATATATATATGATCATGCCATTATACTCCAGAGAATATCTTACGAACTTATGTATACAAATCCTTCTGTTGAAAATATAATCAAACTCAAGGGATTCTCCTTTTCAAGTACATGAGCTTATTTCGAAATTGTTTTGTCGATAACGAGATAAACTGAATGGATTTCATGTTTTTACAGAGCAAACGAATGACTGAATTCATTCTTTATGAAGAGGTCAATCGAATAACGATGATGATGATTACACGTAGCAGAACCAGTAGTAGCAGAAGAAGAAAAATATTTGAACATGTTCTCTTGTTTTCATCTTTTTCTCTTCTCGACAACGGCGAAAAGAAAGGAGAAAATATGAAGAATGAAATTTCTAATTTCGCTGATAAATAGCCTGAAGAAACAATGAGTATATCTGAATACGCGCCATCAATACACTCTTTTTCTAATTAGTAAAACTTCAGAAGAATTCCGACTATTCGTAAACAAAACTAACTGAACAAGAACAAGATCACATAGCATCTGACCGCATTTTTATAAATAATAGATGAAAAAATTAAAGACTACGGTCTGCTTAATTCATCATCGTCACCTTCAATCAAATCAACAGTTAATATAGTTCAATGTCTTTCTAGAGAGACGCTCTTACAGATATCATTGTATGTTTACCTATTAGCACATCGTATTAGCATCATTATCAATGGCATCAACTGTCGTTGAAAGAATCTAATAAGAATGAACGGGTAGGCGGATGAATAAGAAAAGTACAGTTACGTCAGTCATTCGGATAGATGGTTGGAGCAAGTAAGAGAGAAAGTGTGTGTGTGTGTATGTCAACTGAAGGTCTAATTTCTCTCGCGTTTTGATATTACATGAATGCAGAAAAGAATGTAAGTATAACATAAGTATGTAGATGTGTCCGTTCGTGGTGTTCTATTACGTACATATTCACGGATGATGATTTGCTCCAAATGACCATAAATATGTAAAGCTGAATAATTTGTTTGATTTTGTCATCTTTCATGCATGATATTGAATAATTATTTGTCTGTTATTTTAAGAAACTCGACAAAATCATCAGATGAAATTAATGTGAAAACCTCTCGAGATGCGTGTAGAAAGATATTTAAAGCGAGAAAACATCTATTAAAATACACCTGTCATGAAGATGTTCGCATGTTTATCTCTTGTCAAAATTTCTTCCATGATCTTCTTCGTGTACTGACAGACATCTGTTGTATATCGACAAAGAAAATCCAATTAGACATTCGCTCGAACGAAAAATGCATTGAGTCTCTCTCTCTCTCACTGTTCGATTTAATTAGAATCTGCCGTCAAGATACTTACGTTTACTTAGTAATCGACGTGCCAAACCGGTCATTATCAATAATTAATGAATAAGCAGTGATCTGAAACAGAAGGTCAATCATAGTGATGATTGAAACAATGTCTTTCTCTAGTTCTGATTGGAACAAGCAGCAAGTTATATTGGTAGGTAGGAGAAAGAAAATGAGAGTTCGAGATTCAATGCATCAACTGAGAATAGAAAGGAAAGAATACTGCCGGTTTCTTTTTCACAATTCATATTCTAATTGTACCACTCATATTCTTTCGTTCTGACAAATAAAACACGATGATGACGGAGAGGAAAAAAATGTCGAGGAAAGAGATGTTGTTGAACAAATATAATCGCCGGCGTCTTCGTCGTTTTCTCTCTTGCTATATATATATATATTCTTTCTGCATAGTTCATTCTCTCCAAGGAAGATATAGCGAGAATGCGAGATGACCATCTTCGTCGGAGATATTTCGAATGAAACGGTCGATGTCAAAATAATCCATCCTATTCGAAAAGAGAATGTTATCGAGAAGGTTTTTGTTTCAACAAAATGATAATGTTTATTGCTTCATCACATGAATAAACAAATCGATTTCGAACAGCAGGCTTTTGTTTGCTGATCATCAATAGGATAGTGTTAGTGACCAAGCTGCATTAATCATCTGACTGCCTGTTGAGAAACAAATATTCAATAACAGCTTTTTCTTCTTACTGAACTTTCAAATAACGCTGCATTATACAAACAGCTGCATTCTTCGATGAACAAACAAGTTAATCAGATTTGATTAGATCATTTCAAACTATGAAGCAGATCTAATCAAGTAATTATTCATTTCCTTCGAGACATTCATTTTACATGCCATAGACTTCTGAAACAAGCAAAGAGTCAAAATGTAGGTGGAAATATTAAAGTTCATAAAATAACTTCCGTGATTCGCGAAAAGATCATTCCTCACCGAGTGAGATCTTGTGTCAAAAAAAACATCGGTATCTTCTGATAATTTCCGTTCATATTTTGTTCTGTCAAGCACATGTGATCAGATAGAATCCTTGATAATGGCGAAGACGCTTTTTTTTATTCACAATAAGAAGAAAAAGAAATTGATTTCGATTAAATTGCATGCGTTGAGATTAAGAAAGAAAAAGGGTAAACGTTATTGGCTTTTTTTAGCACACAAACAAATAGCTGAAAAGAATAAACATCCCTCATCTACTGTAACGAGACGAATATGGAGTAGATCACCGGCTAGAGACGACGACGAAGAAGAAGAAGAAGAAACGGATTGAAATTATGTACAACTAAAAGGAAAAAGAAGAAGGGGTTTTCTTCTTTTCGCGGACTACAAAAGTTCTAATCGATCCTTCTTCGGAAGAGTTAATGGTAAACGCGATCGAATGTCAATTGTCTTATGTTTACTTGAAAGTTTGAAATCTTGTCGTTGTTTAGCAAAAAATAGCTTTTGTTCGCGAAGAAAGTTTTCGACGGAGCCAAATTGTAAAAGAACTTCCGAGCGACTCTCATCATCGAACTCTTTTATATCAATCCAAAGTAAATTTCGTTTCAAAATATCATCGGAAAATTGTTCACCGAATATTGACGAACGTTGCTTACGGGAAACAACTCTTGCTGATTGAGGTGAAGAGACTGTTAAGACTCGTTTCGGAGACGGACTGCTGACACACTTCGGAGAAAGGCCGCCGACTGGTGTACGGTAATTTGAACTGCCTGACGAACTAGCTGTGCTTCCTGTTGATGAACGTGATAAACGTGGCGACGAAGTGTCCATAGGTGATAAACGTTGTTTACTGGGTGGTGAGGATTTCGTTTGATTCGGAATTGCAGAACGACGAACTGGCGGCGGATAGTTTTTCACGGTTGCGATCGAAGCAGCTATTGACGCTGAAGGACAGTTTTCTGCAGGTAATGTGGGTTTGAGACGTTTGACAGGACCCGGTCGATTTTCCACATCACACGATGAAGCAGAACGTTGAATACCTTGGCCCGGTCGTCCTGGAATATTGTGACGAGACGAAACGGTTAATGAATTTGTCACTGTTGTATTCATTGCCGTGGACGACGTCGGCGAAAGTTGCATTGGTGACGGACTTGTAGCTAGTAGAAACAAAGAGAAAATGAAACCGTGTCTAAAGATCAATAAAGAATTTCAATGTATATAGTTACTATTTGACAATGAATGACGACCCTGACGTTTAGCGAGATTAAGTCGCACGCCCATAGCCGCTTCGAGTGCTTCGAGACGCGATTGTAAATTTGGTCCCAGTGACTCTAAATAGATAAAAACAAATGTCTTGGTTCGGTTTCTCTTTATACTTGGATTTAATTTCCTGAGAAAAAATAATACCTGAACGATGTAGTTTAGTTGGTGTGGACATTTTTCTTGCTTTTATATCAATAGTAACAAACTTTCAAGTAAAAGTCTAACTAGAGAATTCCTACTTCAACGTGCACACGTGTATGTGAAGAAGAGAAAAAGAATATTTAGAAATGTAATCGTGGCATAAGAAGAACGTGTCATCTGTATATCGCTGTTAGTCCCTTTTCTTTCTTCATCGTCGTTTCTCTTTAACTTTGCTTATGTGTGACAAATACTAACAGAGAAAAGCAAAACTTACGTTCACTATTAGTTGTTGTAATACCGACAGAATACGAGCGAGATGTAGGTAATGTTGATGAATGAAACCTAGGCATATTTACACGAGAAAATCGCGTTGATTCATATAATTAACATGAGTAACGGAGTAATATAATCTTCAATAAGTATCAATGGTTGACATAGCCTTCTGTTCTTATGTGTACATCGAACGTTTTCGTTCAAAGTTTGATTTTGTACTCGCTCATTCATCNTAATATTTCTCCTTGTTTGTTTTTATTTCTGTTCTGTTTTTTTTTCTCGTTGTTATATATTGAGTTTTTATTAAATATATCCTAGTTATTGTTTAAATTATTCCGATAAGCTTCTCAATTGAACGGCGGATGGATAGAGAAGACGTTCGGGAATATTTTCCTAATGAACAGAACGTCAGCTGGAACGGAAGTGTTAATCTATGATGAAATTACTTATTAACACAATACAATTGCCAGGCAAAGAATAGAAGATGACTTTGGGGAAGAAATCTGTCAGTAAATCTGAATATTCAATGTTAAAACAATGACCTAGACTAGCATGAATCAGTTTATTTGTCTTCATAATCATTTGCGACGTTCCATCGCTGG